CTAAAATGAACATTCTGAACAAACCGTCTAAACTTCTTGATCTACAGATCCAAAAGGTGCAATTTATCAATATTTGTACTAACATGTAATAAATAAATGTCCATTTGAAGTAACTCTCAGTTATATTTCTTCTCGCTCGATTTCCTTGTTTGGTGATACCTGGACATTCAGTCGAGTCTGGTTGATCATGATGAGGTACTTCCTCAGTTATCTTGGCCATCTTCATTCGCCTTGTTAAATTATGAAGAATCGCAGTGGCAACAATCACGGCCATTGTTGTGTCAAGATTAGTTCGGATTGTCCTAGAAAGACATGGAAATCTTCTCTGTAATACACCAAACAATATTTCAATTGAATTTCTTGTGGTCGCATGAGAAATATTATATTTCCGTTCAGAATTACTAGATGGATGGATATCCAGCGCCCCCCAGTATATAGCCACCAGTCTGACGTTCTTCCAATTTAAGCGAAATGGCATTGTTGTCGAATATTTGTTGACATTATGGTGTTTAGTCCAACCTTGCAATATGATGTTTAATAGTAGTACATTATGGTGTTTAGTGGAACCGCAATATTGGTAACCCGGAAGTGACCTGATATGGATGAAGAGAACAGGAAGTGAATGAGTAACTAAGGACGCTAGAGACACTGTTTATATGTGAGTGGAATTGGGAAGTCATGTTGACTGGTGTTTCATATAGATGATGTAGTGAATTAAATTGAAATAAACATATTCGGGTGTCATGTGTTGCCCCAGGCCATCTTGTTACGATATCACGAATTGTCAAGTTGTGGTCACCAATTACTTGAACATTAATGGAATGCCAGCCTTTGCGGTTTCTGAAAAGTTCAGCCTGTTCCCCTTTTGGACATTCGATTGGGATGTGGGTACAATCGGGAAAGTAAGCTGTTATATTGATGTTGAAGTTATTGACTCAGATATACCTTTGTTATTAGTAGAGAATCATTTAAAAAGCTGGAGCAGTTTTAGATTTAGAAAATGATAAAGCTGTTATTTTTGGACAATCTCTTGCACTTGAATTTACATCCAGTGGACATTATTGTATTAATGTGTTTGATTTTGATAATAACTTTGATCAAGTTCTTGCTATTAGTAATGACTTATCTAAAAATGTTTGATAAAATTACATCGACAGTTTGGTCATGCGTCGGCTGAACGATTACAGCGGTTATTAAAAAGTGCAGGGATATGTCAATCTAGAATATTTGATATATTGGATGGAGTTGTACAACAATGTGATGTCTGTCTTAGATACAAAAGTACGCCTCCTAGGCCTGTTGTTGGTTTACCTCTTGCTAGTCAATATAATGAAACCTGGCCCAAATGTATGGTATTTACATATTATAGATGAATTTACTCGTTTTAGTGCAGCTTGTATTGTAAGATCTAAACAGTCATCAGTTGTTGCAAATAGTTTCCTTTTGTTCTGGGTTAGTATTCATGGCGCACCTAAAAAAAATTACAGTGATAATGGTGGAGAGTTTTGTAACAAAGAAATTCAAGACATGGCTGAAAATTTAAATATCGAACTGAAGACCACTGCAGGATACAGCCCTTGGTCAAATGGTCTTCTTGAACGTCACAATAAAATTCTTACTGAAATTCTAAATAAAGTTTGTGCAGACAATAAATGTAGCTGGGAAATAGGCTTAGCATGGGCATTGATGGCGAAGAACTCTTTAATAAATAATCACGGTTTCAGTCCATATCAGTTGGTGTTCGGACCATTTCCAAATTTGCCATCTGTTCTAGTAGATTTTCCACCAGCTTTAGAAGGTTGTACTAGAAGTGTTACGGTTAGTAAACATATTTCAGCTTTACATGAAGCAAGACAGGTTTTTACTGAATCAGAATGTTCTGAAAAGATAAGAAGAGCATTGAGAAAGGATACCAGACCAACAATCGAGCCATTCACAACAGGTGAGAAAGTTTATTATAAAAGGCCAGCTTCAGATGAGTGGAAAGGACCCGCCACTGTAATTGGTAATGATGGTGTTTCTTTTCCAGCCAGAACATCAGGTTGTAAATATCTAATGTTGTACCAGTACTTATTTCGGCCAGTTGCCTTTCCAGCTCTTCCCATAACTTCAGCTGTACGTTCACCATTTTCTTCAAAATTGAATTTAATAACCTGGCCATTCTTAAATGAAAAATCAGAAATATCAAGATCTACAGCATTACTTGGCTCAATGGATACAGGCAAGGGACTTTCGTCATCATCCTCATAAACTAACTTTTCTGGTTCATTATTATCAGGAAGAGAAATGGTTTTAGTTTTAGGATCACAGTTTCTTGGATTAACCTTTGATAATCGGCATTGATGAACTCGGACACATGAGCTACCATGCTTTACAAAGATAGCTTGCCAAGCAAGGTAATATACGCCCACTGGCAGTTTTTATTTTGATTAAAAATATTTAGCAGTAAAGTAACAATCACCAGTATGAAATATTCAACCTTCAGTCATACACTTCTTTTGAACTCTTTAGAGCGATACTGAATAATATGGAGTATGAGTTATTTCCCTTGTTCTTGAAAATGTGTTCAATTTTTAGCTCGTGAAAACTCTAGAAGGCAAATATTCAATCTTCAGCGCGGGAATGAATAATAAAACCAAGTTTTGTCAAAATCCAGCAAAAAATCATGCCTTTTAGTGTTTAAGAGCTAAATTTGAAAGCGTTTTCAAGAACAAAGGCAATAACTCATACTAAATATTTTTAAATTCTTCTGATTTTAAATAGGGTTCATCATTGGGTGATTACGAACACTCACACCAAGTTTCGTCAAAATCCATCAAGTAGGTATGTGAGTAAATTTGCAGCAACTGTCAATAAAGCTTCCGTACAGAATGTATTTGAGATTAATAAGTTAATTGGAAAATTGAAGTCGGAATCTGTATGTTTGTACAATTGGGTGAGGATAAGGATTTAGAGTTAGTAGTGTTCAGTGATATTTCATTAGGTAACTTGCCAGATGGTGGAAGTCAGGGTGGACATTTCATTATTTTAAAGGGGGTAGATGGTAAATTCTCACCATTATGTTGACAATCTAAAAAAATAGTCAGAAGTACCTTTGCAGGAGAAACTTTAGCTTTAACAGATGGAATAGACAATGCTGTGTTTCTGTCAACTTTATTTATGGAATTAGTTTACAACAATCCCACCACATCTTTAGGACTTCCTATCACTTGTGTTATTGATAACAAATCTTTGTATGAATCAATTTTATCTACCAAGTGTACCATTGATAAAAGTTTAAGGTTGGAAATATCCGTTATTAAGGAGCTAATTGAACGAGAACAAATTAGGAATATTTTGTGGTCTAATACAAAATTACAATTAGCTAACTGTTTAACAAAACGAGGGGCATCTTGTTTCCTGTTAATTAAGAACTTGAATAATGGCGTCTGGAAACTGGAAGATACTTAAGTTTATGTGCCCTGTGTAACTTCATTCATGGTGTATATATATTAGTGTTAAAGAATTTTATATATATATTGTATATGTGTTTCTCTAATGAGGGGGAGATTGTTGACATTATGGTGTTTAGTCCAACCCTACAATATGATGTTTAATAGTACATTATGGTGTTTAGTGGAACCGCAATATTGGTAACCCGGAAATGACCTGATATGGATGAAGAGAACAGGAAGTGAATGAGTAACTAAGGACGCTAGAGACACTGTTTATATGTGAGTGGAATTGGGAAGTCATGTTGACTGGTGTTTCATATAGATGATGTAGTGAATTAAATTGAAATAAACATATTCGGGTGTCATGTGTTGCCCTAGGCCATCTTGTTACGATATCACGAATTGTCAAGTTGTGCTCACCAGTTACTTGAACATTAATGGAATGCCAGCCTTTGCGGTTTCTGAAAAGTTCAGCCTGTTCCCCTTTTGGACATTGGATTGGGATGTGGGTACAATCTTTGGTTCCAATAACTCCCGGAAGGTTAGCCAAATCGTAGAATCCACGTTTGAATTTCGGTTATTTCATTCTCAGTTGGCACTGTTATAAAATCAGACCTGTGGCTAGCTATTGCCATTGATATATTTTTCACAGTTTTGCTGACAGTAGATTGCTGGATGTCCATTATATCTCCTACATTTAACTGGAATGACCCAGAAGCATACCAGCGTAGAGTTATCAAAAGTTGCAACTCGGGTGGAATATGAATAGTTTGATCGCAGCGTTGGTGAACATTTAATTGTATCATATTCATTATTTCCACTACACCTGCCTTTGAAAACCTATACCTTTCCAAAGATTTGGTATCATCTAAATCTTCCAATGGATTAGAGCGATCTTTAACAATTCTGTGAGTAACTGCATGTTGGTGAAGGTCTATTAAACGGTGCAATTGGTCTAAATAATTCTCCATTTCTTGTATACAACCAGTAAAGTTTAGCTTAAGTCACCTACTGAGGAAACTTTGCCACGGCTTTCATTTTATACATTTGAAAGTCAAAGGTAAGCATGACTTTCGTGAATATCGAGCGGCGCATACCTAAAGTTCGACTTAAATCTAACTTTAGTCAAAGTTTAGGTTAGTTACGAGCGCTGCATACGGCCCATAGTGTTGAGTTAGTGAAAGTCGCCATTATTGACAAAACAACAAATTTAGTATGGATAACGACGAAGATATATTTCTGACCCAGAACACGTTCAAAGGTACAAGTCCAAGTCCAAAAGAATTTCGATTTAAGTCCCCAATTTCTAAAATGAAATTGAAGGAAAGAATGAAAGAATCAATACCAAAATCAACGCAATATTAAAATGAATGGGCCATTAAAATTTTCAATAGATGGCAAGAAGAAAGATTAAGGAGAACAGTTGATGAAAATTTAGCAAAATGTTTAAATATCCAATTACTGAATATAGATGCAGACATACTCAACGAAGCACTGAAGTTTTTTGTATTTGAAATAAAAAAACAGGATGGGGACGACTACCCTTCCAATTCTCTGTATGGAATTATGTGTGTCTTACAGTCGGCTTTAAAGGCCAATGGTTCACCCCTGAATATATTTGAAGACCGAGATTTTCTACAGACGAAAACGCCATTGGACGCCGTTATGAAGGAGCGGTCTGCTGTTGGACTTTGTGCATCAAATCGGAAGAGTGCTGATATAATTACTATTGATGAGGAAAATACGTTATGGCAAATGGGTTTGCTGGGCACAGATAATCCCAAAAAGTTATTAAACACAGTATTATATTTAACAGGTGAGAATTTATTTACTTTCTTAATTTGAGTGACAGGATGTCATCAACCCGTTATCGTCTGAGATTTAAAAGTTGTTGTATTTATTCGAAGACAGTTTTCAAAATTTTGCGCTCCGATAAGGTAAGGAGCATAGAAATCAGCGAATGTTTGAAAATCCTCAAATAACTAATCCTCACGTAGACGAAAATGGTAGGAGGTACATGCTTTACAAGGAAGATGCTTCCAAAACCAATTCCGGTGGATTAAAACAACAGGAAGGTCGTACCCAAAACTACCAGAGCATATGATAACTCTTCCGACCCAGAGCGGTGTTTCATTAAAAAAAATTTGAATTACAAGGAACTGTGGTAAGTTTGTTTTAATCAGTCCCCTTCAATCCAAAAACGTTGACTCACTGGGTTGACCTCTTTTGCAAATAGCCATTGCAAATATCCACCAGGGACTGTCGTAATCTCCTTCGATACATTTTAGTTTTACATTTATTATTCGTAATCGAAAGGCTCTGCAATTCCCAATTGAACAGAAATTTTATATTTCAGCCCTAAAAACTCTGCCAAACCAGCTTTCTATTTCACCCCAATGGCTAATCATAAATCCAATGGTAAATGGTTTAGTACGGTACCAATTGGTCACAATTCATTATTATCAGTTTATTATCAAACAGATGTGTGCTTATGCTGGTTTCCAGGGAAATCGTAGTAACCATTCTCTATGGGCCACTACAGCGACAAGACTTTTCAGAGCCCGGGTCTACGAGCAACTTATTTGCGAACAAACCGGTGAGTTATGGTTTTGCTTTCATTTTCTATAAATAATACGCTTCTAATAAATTAGGTATCCCACATTTTTACAATTTTGAATAGCTCTATATTATCGTTTTCGATGTGTTGAATAGAATTTTGAAACATTTAAGTGTACCGTGTAAGCTTCTATATAATATCTTTCATACAGTAATGTTAGTTTTCATAATATAATTTCAGGACACAGAAGTAATGTGGTTAGGTTATACAAACGGACATCTGATGAGCAACTAGCAGAAATGTCCGATGCTATAAAAGCACAACAATGGAGAAAACTGTACCTACCGAGACAATTTCTGTTCTGTCTTCGTTTTTAGACTTGCTAAAAGTACAATCGTGAATTACTTGGAGTTGTCTCCCATATACTTACTTTCGTTTTTGTTCACAATCTGGAGACCGCATGGAAAATTCTTGCTATATGCCTGCACAGTGTAAGTAATATACGACATCTAACATTTATTAGAACTTATCTGAAATAGACTACATCCTTATGCGTAATCTGTTATAAATTATGTTTCCGTTTGACATAGCAACGCGAATGCTACGGCGGCTCAGACCTACTTTGACTTTGTAACAGGCAGTACAGTTTCAAATGTGGAACTTGAAAGAGTTGTCCCAAAGGCAAATATAAAGTTAGCTGCAGAACCTCGTAATGACGCAATGTCAAACTCTGAAAAATGAAAGATTCTGGAATATGTTTTATTTTTGATTTATCAATGAATAAACTTTTCCCTCTAAAGTAAATCTTGGTTTCCCCCTGTCAGTGATGCAGATGAGAGGTGCTGACATGGAAAAGGCGTCTAGTCGTTCGGATGGGACAAACCGAGGCCCCGTGTGCTACAGGCTGTGCACGTTAAAGATCCATCGACAGTTTATAAATCGAAAAAGAGCAGGCTAATGCCTGGCAAAATTTCCCTCATTGCATCCTACATGGCGTTGCCCGTCTTCATTAGCCCACATGGTGCAGTAAAGGAGGACGTAAAACTCCATTCATTTCATTTCATTTAAAGTAAGACTTCCAAAGGTAAAAAGGTAAAACCTGTCCCTGAAAAGTAAAACCGTCCTTCCCAAAATAATAACCTGCCTACCTCAAACTAAGGTTATTATTGAATTTGAATCAACCTGAAACACCAAAGAAATTTGCCGCCATAGGTTTATAAAGATGGTAGTTAGTAGCTTTACATATCGTAGAAAAATCATATTTAAGGTCGAAATTGCAATGTAATTGTACGCCAAGATCACTGCTTTTTGACAAACAGGCGATATCACCGATGTTTGGTGGAGTATAAGTCATCTAAGAGTTTTTTAATATTACCAGAAATCATTATTACCTCAGTTTTCTCATCATTAAGTTTAAGAAAATTGGCAGACATCCATAATTTGATTTCCTGAATACAAAGTTCCAGATTGTTTATTTCAGTGGTTTGTGTGTTACTTTTAAAGGCAATGTATAGTTGTGAATCATCGGCATAAAGTCGGTCATCAATGTTGAATTTGCTGATTAAGTCCCCTAGAAGAGAGGTGTAGTGTCTGCAATAAATAGGAGAGGGTCGAGTACAGACCATTGAGGTACACCATAACGTAATTCAACAGGATTAGACTTCTGATTATTAATTTTGACCTACTGTGTTCGTTGACTAAGATATTTTCAAACGATTTCAGAGCAAAACCATTTGTAGCAAATCTTCGATGGTGTCCAATGCAGCACTGAGATCTAATAGAACCAATTTAACAATATTTTTATCGTCCAGCTTTAGACAAATATCATTACAGACTCTAGTAAAACAGTTTCTGTACTGTGCTGACATCTATAAGCAGACTGGAAACGTTCATATAAATCATTCTTTTTTAGATGATCTTTAAATTTAATGGCGACAACTTTCTCAATCAGTTTGGATATAACAGTTATCCTTGACACTGATCGGTAATTCTGTAGAACATTTGTATCAAGGTGTGATAGCTACTTTTAATGCCAGATGGCACGGAAGCATTCACTATCGGGTTTAAAATTGGCAGAACCTCAAAGCAAGATGTCAGCTAGCGTGTAGGAACTAGTAATTGGATCCAAATTACATGTAGCAGAGCTGGAGTTCATCACATTTTTTTTTCAAGTCATGTGGAAGAACTTCACCTAGGCAGGAACAAAAGTCTGCTTTAAGTGATATAGTATTTACAGGGTCAGGTAAGATTACCATGTCTGCCTCTAGAGTTTGACGAATTTTTTCTATTTTGTTTGTGAAAAAAGGCAGAAAACGATTTTGCAAGAGAAACTGCACTGTTACGGCTTAGTTTATAATCAGTCATGTTTACTTATTATCCGAGTCCAAATCTGTATTTTATACGCAACCTTGTACGAAAACAGAATTACACCGTTTCAGAAGCAGCGTGGTATTTCAACCATAGTTACATTAGTTTTTAGCCAATTAATCGGGGAAACAAGGTAATTAGCCACACTGAATCATTTCTATAAGCTATTTTTCTATCTAACTCTTGTATTTGTATACGCTGTCGTGTTCTGCATTATTTTATATGTTAATTTCAATTTTCTCGCTGAATTGTTGTTCAGGCGGTGTCGACCCAAATTCATTCCCTAGTCAAAGCTGTCATGAGCCTTCGATCGCTGCAGAATGTTTACCTATGAAATTTGGTGTCCCCTGCGAATTTCATAGGCTACCTTCTATTATTAATTTTGTATTCTAAATGGCATTTATGGGTTATTGTTTGTATTAGTCAGTAAGACACTGTTATGTTATATTTTCAGTTTTTACGGCAACATGGCAACATGGCAATATGGCATATCAAATATATGGTAAAGCTAAATAATGCCTGTAAAAGCAAGTCGATTAATAAAAGTTTAATACAGAACTGGTTTTGAATCATACAAGCCCATAGTCAAGACCCAGAGAAGACGTTCGCTCCGGTAGAACGTACAGTAAAAACTTGTTGAAACTTATTGGTGTTATTCACAAGAAAGATAGACCAGGGAATAAAGATACTCACATACCTGAAATAGAGAGAGTTCGTATGGAGAAGAAATACAGTTCAGCTTAAAAAGATG